AACGAACATAAGGATATGTTGATCAGTAGATAGTTGATATTGCTGTGTGCTTGATTTAAACTTAAAAAGTTTGAGGAAGAAATACTTTTGAAGAAATGTTGTACTGTTTTCTGCAAACTTTTTGAGTTTAAATCAAGCACACAGCAATATCAACTATCTACTGATCAATATATCCTTATGTTCGTTTGTCACAAAACTGAACTTTCTTCACACTATTTGATGCAGAAGGTTCTTTTCTACCCATTATCGGTTAAGAAAAGATTGTTCAGCTATGTGACTAAACGAACCTAAAGATTTATTTTTCCTTCCGATATAGATATATACTTCTCCGGAGAACTCCGCATTCCTTTGCTGTGATACTACTGTGAAAAAATGGAAAATACCCCAACTTGAATACACATGCTTTTCATAAGAACGTCATTTTTATAATATGTGACGTTGGAACATTATATATCTATATTTTGAGACAATGTGTACAAAAATTTATTACGCTCCATTCGTTACGATACACTGCGTCTAAGTAGTCCTACACTACGTTGTGCACAAACAAAGCGTATATACATCAGTTTTGAAACAGGTGTTTTTTTGTGTTATTGAACTGTAAAAGAATGGGTTTTTAGAATGGCCTGGCGAGTTGATGCGAATCTTTACTTCTTTTAGATTTGTACTTTCATAAACTGTTCTTAGATTCTTATATTCTGGATATCGGATGCCTTCTACCGGTATGATTTCATCTCCAGGAAGCATTGCTGGATTACCAAAGTTTTTGAGCTTGATAGCTCATGATTGGCTAAGAAGATCATTTTATGTTTTTGCGAAACTGGGTGTGGCTGATTTATTCGATGGTGCAAAGCCGCACACGGTATCGGAATTAATCGCTAACAATACGGATCAGACAATCAATTTTCATGGTGAACGTTTGCAGCGAATTTTGTTTCATGTCGAACAAGGTGGTCTGGTGCACAGTGATTCAAAGAAGAGTACAGAACCAATTTTCACTCTTACTGAAGATGGACAATTAATGAGAGCTACTCATCCACTGAAGATGCAAGGCATTGTTCTATGGGATTTAGGCAGTGTTCAATGGGATTTGGGCGGTGTTAGCAGCGGAATTGAGTCCCACCTGGCTGCAATGGTAGCGCAACAAGGACCATATGCAAACGATCAAACGGCTACTCCGGTGAGTCTAAAATTGAAATCTGATAATTGGTTTGAGGCTTTTGCCTCACGGCCAGAGTTGAAACAAACTTCAGATCTGTTCAATGTGGCCATGTCAGCATACTCGAACATAGAATGGCAGGCAATTCGCAGTTCAAACGATATCCAAAAGAGGATTTCAAAATATTCTGTTTTGTGTGATATTGGAGGCTCGTTAGCAACATTTTCTGTTAATTGTTTGCACCTCCATCCTCAATTACATGCTGTTTCATTTGATTTACCGGAGGTATCTAGACAAGCCAGAGTGGAACAAAAGGATTTACCCGAGAATATATTATGCAGACTGAGGATTATTGGTGGCGGCTTCTTTGACCTAGATAGTTTGAAACAAATTAGTCCAAATGCTTTACTGGAATCTATCAATTCTCCAACCAAGTCAGTAGTCTATCATATGAAAAATATCTTGCATGATTGGTCAGATGAGAAGACTTTAGAAATTCTCTACAATCTCAAAACTACCTTTTTAGGTGATAGCTTGCCAGATCAGCAAATTACATTATTATTGACCGAGAACCATATCTTACCATCTGATCATCCCGCAGCGGAACAATTCAACTGGATAAATAGGGGCTTAGACATACACATGTTATTAATGACCGGTGGGAAACAGCGCACAGTCGTGCAGTGGCAGCATTTACTTGAACAAACTGGCTGGGAATATCAACAAATTGTGACAACTGAGTCACCAATTTCAGTTGTTATAGCAAAGTTGGTGAAGCCGTAAATCGGTGCCTATCCCATCGTATGTAAACTAATAATTAGCTTTTGTTATTTTCATCCATCGTACACTGGAATATAGCTGTTGATCTATGTACTATTTCTTCAAAATAAAAAGGTTTTGATTAGAAAACGAAGGAGTTTACAGTGATTTTTGGAATCTTTTTTTGTATTTTTGCGTTATGCCAAAACGAGTTTATACATGTATTTGCGTTAAAATATTTTCGTAGAATAATGCGTAAACCGGTGAAAAGTTTTCCAAGATAACGGAATAGTTTTTATCTAGTATTTTTACGAAGAAAATTCAGTAAATTTTGACAAATCATGTAATAAGCGTTTTCTGAGCAGTTTGACGCAGATTTTCTTTAACGCATTATTTCTGGTGCGAAATTATTCTTAGTGCGTTAACTTGGTTTTAGAGTTGATGCGCTGATAAAGGTTTTCTTGTGTATGAGACAATCAGGCCTGTACATTGTGAAAAAACGAGTGCTCCTTTTGCAATGAGTGAAGCGCTTAAAGTATCAACTTGTAAGCACATGTCATTATTAATTTTAGCTAGAAGTAGATGAACTATGATAACTGTGATTAACAATAGAACTTGCTTTGTTTTAGTTTTTGTTTATGACCTGGTTTTTAAGCGAGAATTTTGTTCGACCACTTCACAAAAATCTGTTAACTGCCTAACAAACCTAACTGCCTAAAAAAACTTGCCTAACTGCTAACCAAAAAACTAGATAGGCTTACAAGAAGTTCGTGTGGGGTTCCAGCTGTTCTGCCAGGTCTTCAGCGATTTCAGTCGGCCAATCAGGTTCTAAAAGTATCTGAATTACTTTTTATATTCAATTTTGTATGTAAAATCAGGAAAAAATGGTACCAAAATTTTAAAAACACAATAAACCCTCAAATTTTGCTTTTTCCTGAAAATTTTGCTGAATTTTGCCCATTTTTAAAAAATCAATATTTCAGAATTTTTTAGATGAAAAAATACTTTCAAAAATCCACTTTTCAGTTTTTTCTAGGTAACTCGGTGAGCCCGACCTAACGATCAAAAAAAAAAATCAAAAAAAATTTTACTTATCTTTTGAATTGCCGGGACCTTACTTTTATAAAATCCCTAGTCGACCAAGTCAAAGAGCATCTAACACAAATTCGAGAAACAGTTGCAAAGCATATTGAAGAAATAACTGAGTTACAATTGAACGACATTGAACAATATGATCCAAGACTAAATATACTTGTACATGGAATACCTGAGAAAGATGGTGAAATAACACATGATTTAATTGTTGATATGTGACATTCCATTCAAATCAACATTAAACCAACAGATATTAGCACTTCTCATCTATTAGAAAAGAAATGTATAAGAATAGACCATCTATATCATCTCCTTGAGCGCCCATTACGTTTTATGTGTTTTTCCAACGTTCAACGTAATTGCTGAAAATGCTACTTCACGACGAGATAGATCAAAGAGAGAAGTAATTTCTTGCAATGTTTAAACTTGGAAAAATAACACTTTCGTTTTATGTCCCTCTGGTTACCCACTGTGTGAAGTTATGTGGTGAATAGTCATTATGTGATACAGTTACAGATATCCAGTTTCATGGATTATCGTATTTGACCAGTTTTATGTGTACAAATCAATGCTGATAAATAGTGAGCTTCAGTTAATTGTGTACCGCACATAAAACTGGCCAAACAAAAAGGTTTGCTGTTCCTTTATTGTGCAAGAAGTTTTCTTTTAATATGTAAAAACTTCTTTTTTTGTTAATAATTTTCCAAACATGTATTAATCTATAACCAATATTTTTAATCTGTTTCTTCATCTCTCACAAAACCATGGTAAAAGTCGCATACTTCTGCACCGATAACTGTTTGTTTTAAAATATATACAATTTTGCATCTTTATAAAGTGATATCAGCTTCTGTTCAATTGATGAGTACACAAGACAAAGAGCTAATCAGTCTTTATGATACACTGACATTTCCGCGAACGATATTATCGCGAACACTTGTGTTTACAGAACTTGTCAAATTACCGGTAGCAACAAATTTTAAGTACGATCGAACAAGTTCTCGAGAAGTCCCACAAAATTTATTTTCTGATTTCTCGCAGAATCATCGACTTGTTTGGTAGTTCATAAAATTTATTTATAAGGATAATTCGATGAACTCTAGAAACTGGAAGAGTCAGAAGTTGTTCATCACGGAATTTTAAAACATACGCAAAACGTATATGCTTTTTTGCAATCTAAAGTCTCATACTCTTACACATTATTTTCATGATGAGAATATTTCAATCCTAAGCGAGAGACTTGTGGTTTATTATCAAATAGTATTCTCTCCTAAAAAT